TCACCAGAAGTGTCACCGCTCGCGCCCACCGAGGGTAGCCTGGCATATTCCACCCCTCCTTCCGAGCGAAAAGGATGCGCGAGGGTCGCATAAAAAGCCAGGAGAACTCCTGACCGCCCTCTCGCTCTGTGTGGAGGCTCAGGGTCTCTCCCCGCAAACCTTGCCGAGACCTAGCGACCTAGGCTCGCACTCGAGGGGGCTCGGCAAACAAACCCCTCCTTCCGAGCGAAAAGGATGCGTGAGGGCCATAAAAAAAGACAAGGAAACCACTGATCGCCCTCTCGCTCCGTGCGGAGGCTCGGGGGTTCTTCCTGCAACTAGGCCAAGTCCCAGCGCCCCGAACTCGCATTCATGGGCCCGGCAAACACGATAAAACTCCTTGCTCAACGGAGAAAAAAGCCCCTGGAGGAGTAAACCCACTCCTCTAGGGCCTCGGGGGCTACACCCGGCGGGTGCGCTCGCGCACACCCACCGGAACCACCAAGTACAAAACACAATCCCGACGGGAGCTGCTACGAGCCAAGTCTCGTCAAAACCTCAGGAGAGTGCCTGCACTCCTCCCGAGGCTCGGGGGCTACTGTCGGATACCACAAGAAGGGGTACCCTAAGCAAGAACCAAAAATATTACTTAAGCCTTGCAAAAAATCAAAGCCAAAGGACAACCACGAGGTCTCGGCAGATTCTCCGATTCGCCCGAGGCTTGCGCCGAGGCCTCAGACGAAAGGCCAAAGCTCTCCGCCCCACCGAGGCCCTCTCACCGAGGCCCTCTTGCCGAGGCCTTCTCGCCGAGGCCCTCTCGCCGAGGCCCCGCCCCGCAAGGCCTCGGACGGGATACCAATTCTCCGATTCGCCCGAGGCTGGGCTCGGCAACAAACTCGTCACCTCCATCCCGACTGACTCCTCTGACAAAACGTCACGTCGAGTTAATGCGCCCAACTACTCCCGCAACGTCAGCCGCACGTTGGCGCAGTACAGGCAGAGTGATCGACGGGACAGAGGACCGGGCGCAGCAGGGGTTACCTGCCACTATGCTCATCACTGTGCCCCCTGCTGACACCCGTACTGCCCTGTGCTGCCTAACTCCTACGCCAAGGACAAAGCGGCGTGGAGGGTCAAGTCCGGGTCCCTGTAGTCTCAAAATCAGCATGAAAGACCAACTGCTCGTCCTCTGCCTCGTCCGAGACCCCCGGCAGGGCCTCAGACGTACTATTCCTTCTCCACCTCGGCCGAGGCCGGGCTCGTCCCGCATCCTCGTCGCCTCCGCCTCAACCGTCCCTTTGGCGAGCCGTCCCATCCGTTTAAGTACGCCTGGTCACACCTACTACGTCAGCCACGACTGGCATGGTACATCAACAGGGGCGATGGGACAGCGGTCAAATCTCATTTTTATCATCCCCTACTGACGGTGCAGGGGTTACCATGCCCTGCGGACACACGCTCCGCACTTTTCCACCTAAACCGGGTACGACGCTGACCACCGAGGCCCCCGCATCATACTCAGGTCACCTCCCGGGCCTCGGCAAATCAGGCCTCGGCACGGTCAGCCACAAACACCTGCCAGGCCTCGACGCGCCACCAAGTCAAAAATTCACAAGGCACGGCATGTCACCTACAACGAAGGCCATGCTGACTAAACGTCAACGAGGACTCCTACGACTTCAACAGCCTCGGGCATGGCCGGCATGACGCACCAGTGATCAAGTACCAATTGCCATTCCCGACACTGTGCTACTACAAGAATAGGCCACAGTACTAGATCTTCCTTCCTCACTAAAGCTCCACGTGTAGCTCTCTCATGTACTCCTGGCTCCCTCCTTGCGGCTATAAAAGGAAGCAGCCGGGGCCATTTCTAGCGACCGAGACCACGCCGGCCCTCAACACACACACACACACCTCCCGCTGCCTGAGAGCAACGTCTCAAGCAGCCCGCACCGTTCCACGCCGAGACCTGGGACTAGCTCCCTCTCTCACCCAGCTTGTAACCCCCTACTACAAGCACTTCGGTGCAAGGAATACAAGATCGATCTCTCAGACTGGACGTAGGGCACCAATTGCCTGAACCAGTATAAACCTTGTGCCTCTTTGCATCACCATCCGGAATTAGGGGCATGCAGTTCAAATTCACTGGTTGGTTGAGGACCCCCAGTCCGAAACAACGACACATTCTTTAAAGTAACAACATACTAAATAAATCTTATCATTAAATCATTTATTATATTTAGTGTTTTCTATTGACAACCTAAAATAAAAAAATTTGGGATGTGACGCATTCTCTATACCAGATCGTCAATCCCGTATAAGTTTATGAGAGGTAACTTAATGAAAGGGACACTTCTGCTGGCGGACACAAGTTTTAGGGCATGTTTGGATACATGGCTAATTGTTAGATAGCTATTTTTAATTCTAAGAGCAACTCCAAGAGACTCTCCATATTTTTTCCTAATTGTTAGAAATAGAGATTTTGGTGAAAAGTATCATCCAACAGCTTCTTTAATTGGTTATCCGAATATAGTCATCTTCTATTCTGGATTTCTCGCTAGTCAAAGATAGAAAATGAGAATGGATCTCTGGAGTGCAAACAAGATATATAATAACTGTTGGAGAGCGGAAAATATAGAAAGCAATTTTTATGCAAATGGTTCTCCAAATAATAATTTAGAGAGTGAGCTTTAGAAAGACTCTTAAAGATGCTCTAATACATCCAAACAGAAGAGCAAATAGGTGGTTGCTAAGTCTTTAAATCGTTGTTAGCCAACTAGCTAGCCAATCATATATAGCTAATTTTGACTAATTTTTAACCCCAACTAGTAACCAGACATGTGTATCTAAACAACCCATTAAGGGACAATTAACTAAACTATAGTTGTCGCCATCCCATGAAGCGTGACTTGACTGTAGCCTTTTTTTTAAGGCAGAATGGCACTGGGGCCAATAAAAGCCGAGGCCAGTGATATTTTTTCGAATATGAAAAAAGATTTGCGCATCATCAAAATTAGGGTAGAAAATTTTATAGAAACAATACGCTTCTGACGAGTGCCCTAGGAGCTCTACAAGATTACAACTGTAGGGGGCTTGGCCGTCTAGCATACATATTGAAGTTTCGATATTACACAAATGATGGGCAATCGAGATTACAGGTTCTGGGAGGGGTGCGTCTATATGATAAACTGATCTGGGTCCCAACTCATCCTAGCCCAACAAGTTCATGTGCAGACAAGTTGGACGATCTAAGAATTTCCTCTCAAATAAGAGAGGGAATGTCTCGAAGTAACTATCCACCCGGTGCAAGATCCATCTCTCCAGAGGATTGGATCGCCTTCTGAAGCAGTGCTGAGTCCGTCTCAAGCTAAACTAGACATGAGGCCATGACTTCACAGTAGAGGCGTAGACTTTTGGTTAAACATGTATGGCCATTTTGTTGAGGCGAAAGTTTCCTTGATGATACTTCCATCGCTATCATTGTAGGTCTCCATAGCTAATGCATACTTTATTTGAGAGGGTGTTTGGTTCCACGGATTAAATTTTAGTCCCTGTTACATCGATTGTTTGGACACTAATTTGGAGTATTAAATATAGACTAATTACAAAACTAACTTCACAGATTGAGACTAATTTGCGAGACAAATCTATTAAGCCTAATTAGTCCATGCTTTGACAACGTGGTGCTACCGTAAATATGTGCTAATGATGGATTAATTAGGCTTAATAGATTCATCTCGTAAATTAGTCTCTGTCTATGTAATTAGCTTTATAATTAACTCATATTTAGTTCTCCTAATTAACATCTGAACGTCCGATGTGACAGTGACTAAACTTTAGTCTCTAGAACCAAACACACCCATGTCTCTAAGAAATTTCCACCCCGGTGCAAGATCCGTCTCTCGAGAGGATTGGATCGCCTTCTGAAGCAGTGCTGAGTCTGTCTCAAGCTGAACTGGACATGAGGCCAAGACTTCACAATAGAGGCGTAGACTTTTGGTTAAACATGTATGGCCATTTTGTTGAGGCGAAAGTTTCCTCGATGATACTTCCATCGCTATCACTGTAGGTCTCCGTAGCTAATACAGTACTTTATTTATTTGAGGGGATGTTTGGTTCCACGGACTAAATTTTAGTCACTGTCACATCGGATGTTTGACACTAATTTAGAGTATTAAATATAGACTAATTACAAAACTAACTGCACATATTAAGACTAATTTACGAGATGAATCTATTAAGCCTAATTAGTCCATGATTCTCATGAGGTCTTGTCAGTACTTTTGTTCTGAGATGAAATTGCAATTGGGAGACATGTTACTGAATACAAACAACCATCAGCCTATTCGGGAGGCCGTATCGTATCGTGAATTATTTACTGCTGGCTGGTTTGGTGTGAGAGAAAAATACTATTCCCGACTGGAAATTTACGATCATTTACGAGCAAGCGAACAGGCTGCATGACCCTGTCGAAGGGTCCATGTCCAGAACAATAGCATTTATTTGGTGGGGGCCAAGGCCAAAGAATCATCTTGTTTTGCATAGAAATGACTGGCTGGTTGGCAAAGTAAACGCTTAGTCTATAGACATGGCACCGTCAAAGGATTCAACATCATATCACGCGTTGCAAGTTTGAACTTGGGCCTTGTTTAGATGGGTGTTAGAAATCAGTATTTGGCACTGTAGCACTTTCGTTTGTGTTTGACAATTATTATCCAATCATGGCCTAACTAGGCTCAAAAGATTTGTCTCGTAATTTACAATCAAACTATGTAATTAGTTATTTTTTATCTATATTTAATACTCCATATGTGTCAAAGATTTGATGTGATGAAGAGAGAGTGAAAAAACTTCGAATCCTTAGAAGATGCTTCTCCTGGACTGAAACAGCCATGGGCCCATGCATGACCCCGTCATAGGGTTCATTCAACATCACGCCGTGTGTACTATAGAGAGAGAGACTAGTGTGTCATATGTGCTCATGAATCGAAGCAAATATTGTGAGACGCCATAGGAAAACTATGTACTACTACAAGAGCGCCACAGCTGATACAGTTCCTATGCTTCTACTTCTACTCTTCGGCCTCACAGTTCTGCTGCAATTTCAAGGCAAGGCGGTGGTGGCTTTGCCAGGCTCCAGCTGCCAGAGATGGTGCGGCGATGTTGAAATTGCATACCCATTTGGGATTGGTGCTCGCTGTGCAATGAAAGGATTTGAGCTCAACTGCGACAATACTAAGGATGGCCGCAGCTTCTTAACGGCCTTCGGTGGAATTCCAGTGCGGAATATATCGCTGCTCGATGGCCAGGTTCGGATCATGAAACACATCTCATCCATGTTCTACAATCGCTCGACCAAGGAGATACACTACAGTATATGGGGCAGGAATCTCAACAACACGCCATTTAGATATTCAGGGAACTCCAACATGTTTACGGTTATTGGTGTCAACACTTTCGCATCCATGACAGACAATTATGTGAGTAGACTCAATTTATAACAAGAATTGATTTATGATTATAGCTGTATGCTTTAATTCTTTAGTGCAATGGACTGGGTACGTTTTAGGCTGCTAATAAGTTGAATCTTCATGTTTATGCATTCAGAATGTGATTTTTGGGTGTGTATCAGAGAACTCATCCTACAGCAACCTCAAGGCACAAGATGGGAAGTATTTCGGTGCCGGGTGGTGTCGGGTTCCACTCCCCGGGGACATGTACACTGATGATGTGTCTTTCAGTTCACTTTACAACACGACGGATTACTATACCAACAGAAGCACCGCAGACAGGGCAGAGTACCAAGGCTAGGCTGTGGTTATGGAGACTGACGCATTCCAGTTCAAAACAACATATCTAAACACAACAGCCTTTTTGGATGAGCGTGATGATGGCCGTGTCCCAGCCATCTTGAACTGGGAAGTGGGCGATGAGACTTGCGATGTCGCGATGAAGAAAAATGATTCATACGCTTGCATCAGCACTAACAGCATGTGCGTTAATTCCAGCAGTGGAGGCTACCTCTGCAACTGCACCAAAGGATACAAGGGCAATCCTTACCTTCCTCATGGATGCCAAGGTCAGTATTGCAAGTATACCTTTTGATTCATGTGTACAAGTACACAAAGAATTCCTTAGAAGAAAATATTTATGCAGTCCTTGAGATCTAAGTACCATATTCTGTATGCAGATATCAATGAGTGTGCTGCCAAACCACCTCCATGCGCTGGCTGCAAGAACACACCTGGAGCTTACTCTTGTCCGAGATCCTTGAACGTTGTGGCACTAGCTGTGGGTAAACATACTTCTCTTTTCTATCTTTGAGAAAAACGTGTTTGCACATCTTATACCACTATTAATTAGAGACATATTTCAGAGCCACTGATTTTCATGAGACACACTAGGGAATTAAAATGAAAAATCATAAAAGTTGTCACAGGAGCATGAACATACAATTATCAGTTGGATAGACTCTAATCATCATGGACAATATAGCTATTGGATCTATTTTTTTCTAAAAAATATACATCTCTGCCATTATAAAAAAAATAGTCTAATCTAACCATAGACTTAAATTTGTATCTAAATTTCTCACCTCTACCATTATGAAAAACACCTAAAGCTAATTAAACCAATAAACTTTCATCTAAGTTATCCATATATGTTGTTATTAAATACAATCTAAAGCATCCCTAAATTTGTATCTAAACTAGTACCCCTCTGTCCTGAAATATAAGGTATATTAGGAATTGTAGGACAAATTATGAGGTAATGCAAATGACGCATGTAACCCTCCTTTAACTATATAGAGGCTTTGTGCCTACCATATTTTGAGCCTGGTGGTAGACACTAATGGTAGGTACCTATATGATTAGGACCGAGAGAGTTAATTCACATAGAATACCTTATAATTTAGGACAAATTTTGAATGCTTCAATACCTTATATTTCAGGATAGAGGGAGTAACCCCCAAACTTTCATCTAAAGTTTACCTATAAAGTACTTTATATATGCTTCTAGATTGCCTACTTACGCCATTGTTAATATAAAAAAAATCTCAAATAGCATGATGTGTGTCACCAACTCACCATGCACGACATAGGGTTGTGTGATGCAAAGATAAAACTACAAATCGTGATGCAAATGCCTATATATGTAATTGGCAATAAAATGTATCAGACCGTATAAATTAAAATGTACATGTACGAATAGTGATTAGAATATGAACAAATGAGAGAGCAAAGATAAACAACTTTGATTATATGGGCCTCAAATTACTAGCCCATGTAGGAGCACAAGTTGATTATCTTGTTAAAATTTTTAATGATAGTGATTGTCTGAAAACCACACAGGTTCAAGCATCGGGGTTGCAATTGTGGCCATAGCCATTTCCTGCACATACTTGATCCATGAAAGGAAGAAGTTGGACAAAATCAAGCGGAAGTATTTCCATCAGCATGGTGGGATGCTTCTATTGCAGGAGATAAGTTTAAAGCAAGGAACTGCTTTCACCATCTTCACAGAAGCAGAGCTCATTGATGCAACAGACAAATTTGACAACAGGAACATCCTTGGCCGTGGTGGCCATGGCACTGTGTACAAGGGCATGCTCAAGGAAGGCAGTCTGATCGCAGTCAAACGGTGTGTATCAATGACCAGTGAGCAGCAAAAGAAGGAGTTCGGCAAAGAGATGTTAATCCTTTCCCAGATCAATCACAAGAACGTTGTTAAGCTACTGGGCTGCTGCCTCGAGGTAGAGGTTCCAATGCTAGTCTATGAGTTCATCCCCAACGGCACACTATTTCAGTTCATCCATGGTAGCAATGGCTGCCACAACATCCCCTTCTCAACTCGCTTACACATTGCCCTCGAGTCTGCTGCAGCCTTAGCTTACCTACATTCGTGGGCTTCACCTCCAATCCTTCATGGTGATGTGAAATCATCCAATATACTCCTTGACGAGAACTATGCAGCTAAGGTATCAGACTTTGGGGCTTCGATACTGGCACCAACTGATGAGTCTCAGTTTGTCACACTTGTGCAAGGGACTTGCGGTTACTTAGACCCTGAGTATATGCAGACGTGCCAGTTGACGGATAAGAGTGATGTTTACAGTTTTGGGGTCGTTCTCCTGGAGCTTCTCACTGGCAAGAAGGCATTCAACCTTGATGGGCCTGAAAACGAGAGGAGCCTTTCATTACGCTTCTTATGCGCTATGAAGGAAGGCAGACTCATGGACATCATTGACAACCGCATTAAGAATGAGATCGACATGGGGTTGCTTGAGGAGGTCGCGGAGCTTGCGAGTCAGTGCCTAGAGATGGTTGGCGAGAGGCGACCGGCAATGAGAGATGTGGCCGAGAAGCTGGACAGGCTCAGCAAGGTCATGCAGCACCCTTGGGTGCCTGCGCAACATCATCCTGAAGAGATGGAGAGCCTGCTTGAGGAGTCGTCAATGGTTAGTTTGGAGATGATAGGCACAGAAAATTTCAGCACGGAGAAGAGGATTGTGCAAGGGCTGCTGGAGTCTGGACGTTAGAGTTGTCAGCTGTCACACCTTTCATACCACAATACCACATATTCATAGTGATGGTTTTGTGTGTGTACATACGTCTGTTCGTTTCAGGGTAATACATACTCCATAATTACATTTCTTTGGGAGAACTTAGTTATCTAATTTGCCAACGAGCCTCTAGTCCATCTGGTTAGAAAGCCTCAACGGCACTCCACAGGTCCTGGGTTTGACTTCCCGTGGGAGCGAATTTTAGGCTATGGTTAAAAAATTCCCTCGTCTGTCCCATAATCAAAGCACAGGTCAAAAGGTCCGTCCCGGTTCTCACATGGCAACGGTGCCCCTGTGTCAGGGTGGAGCAGGGGTGGTTTAGTTATCTAATTTACTTGAGTGCACTAATGAAAACGTTATTTACGTTTGCGGTGAAAGTTCTAATGTGACTGGAGAATTTTTCTCTTTTGCGACCTCTTTCTATCACTCGTCATTTTCAGTCTCCCTTACCTCGAACGGTGAAATCTGAATGCTGGACATCACGAGAGAAAATATTTGTATGATCGACTCTTTTCTGCAGGACCAGTGGATGTGGAGCTGTAGACTAAAGATGCTGGTGGGCCACTGGTTATGTTGTGCTTGCTATGCTGGGCTGGTACCTATTTTTCCAGCTCCAACCTCTCCAAGAAACAAGCAGTACTTGTCTGGCCCATGAGCCCATCATGACATCTGACTCCCAGTTTCTGGTTCATCACCGCTTTATGCATACTGAATTTTCGTCTGGTTTGCAAATTTAGGCAAGTCCTAACAGACACAAGTGTTTCAACACGAAATTCTTGTTGACTTGGACACACGGTGCAAAATTCCTTCTCTGCCTTCTTATTTGCCACCTTCGGCTATACTCCGGCATGGCGGCATGGATTTGGCCAAAAGCTTAGAAAAAATGCCTCTTATCAAATTTGATGACAAATTCATGATCAAAGTGGATGTGTTTTCCCAATAGGAAAAACCATCGGTGGATCATAGAAAATCTCCTCACCTCTATGGCACAAGTTTCTCAAGTTCACTGATATGATTTGATTAATTTACTAGTAGTTCATGAACCCAATTACCTATTAGTCTCATTTCTACATTCCAAAATATATTATAGATTTTAATAAGTTGTCCTAGGTGAAACTATTCTAAATTTAGCAAAATTTATATAAGTAAATAATACTATTTGGACCTTACTAAACACCGCGTGTGCAGACGAAGAAAAATCCGCCCGCACGTCCTCTTCTCCCCGCCCTCGTCTTACTATTCTTCTTCTTCCCCCGCCTTCTTCTCCCTTGCCGGCGCCTCCTCCCCTGCTGATGCCGGCCGCGCGAGTGCCCGGCCTCCAGACTGGTACGAGTGCCCCCGCCTCTACCATCTCCCAGCTCCCACTGCCCCGCCGCCCACCACCCGCGGCGACCTCCTTCTTCCCCTCCCCCCTCCCGCATGCCATCGCGTGCCCCCACCCCGACCTAGCCAGACCGCCAGGGGCTCTAAACTGCCTTGCTGCCATCCCCACCGCCTGCCCTGCCTACCTTCCCCGAGCCCCTTCTCTTCTAAGCCTACCGGAGTTGGGGAAGAAGGAGTAGCTCGGGCCGCTGGAACCCTAGCCGTAGTCGGAGCTAGAGAAGAAGATGGCGGGCATGGGCGAGGGAGTGCGAATCGGATGGCCGGGGAGAGCAGCAGCACGAAATCGACGGTGGGTGAGGGTATGCGCGCCGAGCACCCAAATCTTGCGCTTTTGTAAGTATAAGCATTTCCGATAATATTTACATGATTTTTTATAATTTACCCATTTGATAGATGTTACTATTCTTCTCTAAAATTCTATTAAATTTAGAATAGTTTAACTTAATTACTTTAAGTAATTTAAAGTCTCTTATATTTCAGGACCGTAGCCCAATTTGCATTTTTTTACACGGACTAGCAACCGGTTTGATCCTTGCCGGCGCCGTTGGTGCTGTGCAGCGTAGGCTCCCACTCGCCCGCCCACCATTCCGTTCCCACCGCTCACTCCACGCCGGAGACGCGGAATCGAATCAACCCGACGAGCCGGACGGTAAATCCGGCCGCCTCATCCCACACATTCCCACCGCTGGTCGTTTGGCTGGCTTGCTGGCCGCCCCCCATTCCCTTGCCCGCGCCGCGCAGACGCTCACGCGAGGGGTAAAGCGCGACAAGGGGAGAGGGCCAGCTAGCCAGCGAGCCAGCCGCAGGCAGCCAGTGCGGCAGGCCGCGCCGCAGCCGCAGCAAAAGGCCGCACCGAAAAGCCCCTTTCCCCTCGGCCGCATCCCCCCCACATCATGACGATGGCGACGCCGACCCGTCGCTGCGGCACTAGTGCCGGCGCCTGCGCCAGTGCCAGTGCTCGCGCAGTCGCCACTGAGTCCGAGATCCGGCCAGCGGCCACTCCACTCCCGCCCGCCCCGCCCCACGCTTGCTTCTCCGACTTGTGCACCCCCACCGCGCGCCACCTTTCGCTTTCGCTTTCCCTTTTGCTCCCCGCAACGCACTTATCTGCTTGCTTGGGCGATTTGGACTGGACGGGGTCGAGAGGGCGAGAAAAGCGAAGCAGGCGGGGAGAGAAGAATCACGACACCGGGCCGTGCCGATGGGTGTGTAGGGTAGGAGCTGTAGCTCGTTGACCTCTCCGCCTGGGCAGCAAGGAGGAGATGACTTCCCCGAAGCGGGCAGCGGGGCGGGAAGGGTGCGGGTGCTGGGCCGCCGTCGCGCGGGGCCTCCGCGGGGCGTGCTTCCGGCCGGCGGCGCCGGCGGACGGTGACGGCGGCGGCTCCGCCAAGGGCAGCCACGTTCACGACGCAGGTGGTGGATTCTTGTCATATTCTCTTTCTTGTTTGGTTTGGGAAAGATTTGTTCCTGCCTGCTTGTTCGTTAGTGGCAAAGAGTTGGCTTGGCTATTAGCGTGGTGTTGTGATATATGATTGATGATTTGATACGCTGATCATATATGGCAATAGGAAGCTCTTCTTTTCCATGTTCTTCTGTCCCCAGCATTCTTTGATTGTATTCATTGGAGTTTATCATGGATTTGATCGTAGCTAAAGAGGAATGATTAGATTGGCATGCAATGGTTAGAAAGTAAATTAAGGGTCAAACTTCAGCCGTTGAACTGAAACTCTCATATGGATGTGAGTTGGCTATTGGTCGATCAACTTTTCAACAAGCCATTCTTGGTGGTTGGCTGATTAGAGCGGACTAATACAGCATTAGGTGATGCATTCAACGTTGTCTGTTTCTCCTATGCTAGGTGTGAATTCCATAAACAACTTGCACTATATTTATGAGCTTGCGCCGAACTATTTGAATGTTATATGCTCATCAGTCAGAGGTAAAAGGCGTATCTTAATCTGATTTGTATGAAAATCCCCTTCTGGTCTGTCAATAGTCTGTGCTCCTTATCTTTCAATCCAAATAGTTTTATTTAATCCATTGTGGCACATTTCAGTTGCTAAGTGAGATTTCTAATCATAGGGAAACAATTGAAGCTGACGTGGTAAAAGCTTTGAGAAAGTCTATGATTCATTGGTTCCAGGAGCCAATTACATCTGACTGTGTTTCTTGCTGCTGTTATGTTATCATATTGCCTGAAAGTGACACCTCCACAAATGATTAACCTGGATAACATAACAAAGCATGATCATGGTACTTCAAGTCAACTGGATAGGTTTGATCCTGTATTAAAAGCTGGGGATGACTATACTAAGTACATAATACTTTGGGTCAATGCCTATAAACTTTGTCTAACCATTTTGGATATGTGGGAGCCTAAGAGCGAATAGTTTTGACTTTGGCAAATATATTCTATCTTATCTTAGTAATTGCTGTAGGTAAAAATATCATTTTCTGTGTGATGTGCTCAAGGAACTTTGTTTTCTCTGTAGCAGCAGAGACAAGATATCTGAATGCTAGCAATCGGGGGCTTGGTGATCATTTTCGGACAAAACATGATGGTGAAAATGGTGTTGATGCATCAATTGAAAAGAGAACACCCAAGCTACTTCAGTTTACCTTTCAAGAGTTGAAATCTGCCACCCTTAACTTCAGGCCAGACAGTATTCTTGGGGAGGGTGGGTTCGGTTATGTCTTCAAGGGGTGGATTGAGCCAAACAGCACTGCTCCTGCAAAACCTGGCACAGGGGTTACTGTAGCAGTCAAAAGTTTGAAGCCAGATGCGCTTCAAGGTCATAGAGAATGGGTGGTAAGTATTGTATGGGTTTTTTCTTTTTGAATGGAGTATTGTAGCTATGGTTTTAAAATAATCACATTTTCAGGCAGAAGTTGACTTTCTGGGACAGTTGCATCATAAACACCTTGTTAAGCTGATTGGATATTGTATTGAGGATGATCAAAGGTTACTTGTATATGAATTCATGGCACGGGGAAGTCTTGAAAATCATCTTTTCAGAAGTAAGCAATCACCTAACAGAGTTAATGCTTTAAGTTGAGTAGATTTAGTGCTTTGACTAATTTGTTTCCCCACTTAGCCTAACAAGTTGTTTGCTTCACTTATAAGTCTTTTTTGCATTTTTTCTGAGCAATCTTGGAATTTTTTTTGTCGTCTATCACTCTGTGACATCAGAGATAATTACAGTCTAACTTAATTTGATTATGGTAATGTAGACCTGAGCATTTTAGCCTGGCCTTATTATATATTAAGTTTGACCTGTGCCAGTTACACCTATTCATATCTTCTTAGTCAATAGACAAATGATTTCCACACAAAAAAAGTGGTTCTACAATAGTACTGTAGTGAGCAGGGATGCATGCCTACTACCAATGGTGGTGTCCATTCTATTCCTAACTTCTATATTGCCATATTGGTATTAGGTTATGCCCACATAACCATTATTTTTGGGGAAAAAATTATTACCAGCTTTTTCACGAAGTTGATTTTACTGTATGTGCCTAATCTTGTTGACTTTCCTTGTCAATCATAATCTTTCTGTCTTGTCGTTCTTATGATCCTGTCATCTTACTTTGTTTAATCTTGAAGGGGCTCTTCCCCTACCTTGGTCCAACAGAATGAAGATTGCTCTAGGTGCCGCGAAAGGACTAGCCTTCCTCCATGGAGGTCCCAAACCTGTTATTTACAGGGATTTTAAGACATCGAATGTTCTTCTTGATGCGGTACTTTATCTGATGAATCTGTTTCATATCGTGCTTAGACAATGCATGCTACCTTGTTAATTATTCTGATTTTACTTCTGTAGGAGTACAACGCAAAACTATCTGATTTCGGTTTAGCAAAAGCTGGTCCTCAGGGTGATAAAACTCATGTATCTACTCGGGTTGTTGGCACCTATGGTTATGCTGCACCAGAGTATGTAATGACAGGTATCAGGGATAAACTTTTGACTTCATTAGTTACCTTTAGCAGAATTTCTATAGCTTGGCGTTATCTGTTGCATGTTTGTACTTTACAATGTTTCAATGAGCTTGTATCTGTTCTCGTGTTCGCTTCATACTGGATTCTAAATTGGCTTAACATTTTTCGCCGAAGACATAAAACTGGGGTGTCATTCTTCCTTGAGTTTTCCACCAACTATAGTTCAAACTTCTTTCGAGTGAAACTGTGTTTTGCTTTTTATTGATGCAGTAAGGCTGTAGACATAAATAACGAATCTTCTTGGTAATAGAACTAATGTTACATATGATTGCTTCTATACTATAATTTCGCTTCCATACTAGAGTTCTGTTGTTTCAATTTGTTTGACTAACCATAATCTCAGGAATTGCACATACTTCTATGCTAATGCATGTGAGGGTAGCTTCTATGGCCCCGTTCGCTTCGCTGAAAAAACAAGCCGAAACACTGTTCCGGCTGATTTGTTGTGAGAGAAAAACACTGTTCCGGCTGAAAAAACAAGCTGAAAAAGACGGATTATATGCCTTACCTGATGAAAGCTGAAAAAATAACAAAATGTGTTAGTTTATGGTTCTTTCTTTAAGCAGTTGATATTGTCAAGTTTTGTTACTCATGTCATGCGTACTGTTTTCAGGGCACTTGACATCTAAGAGTGATGTCTATAGCTTCGGAGTTGTGCTACTTGAGATGTTGACTGGGAGAAGATCAATGGACAAGAAGCGACCTACAGGGGAGCAGAACCTGGTTGCATGGGCGAGGCCTTACCTAAATGATCGCCGAAGGCTCTATCAGCTCGTAGATCCTCGCTTGGGGCTGAACTACTCTGTCAAAGGGGTGCAAAAGGTTGCTCAGATCTGCCACTATTGCCTTACCCGTGATAGTAAGTCTCGCCCATCGATGGATGAAGTTGTCAAGCAACTCACACCATTACAAGATCTAAATGACATGGCATCTGCATCGCCAAGGCCTCGCTCAACTCAGCGCGGTGAGTGGCACATGAACAAACTGCTCTTTACCAGTTTATCAGAGTGCAATTCTAGAAGCATCATCCAAGATGACTGATGAAGCTCACTGATTCTAAAAAAAAAATTGAAGTTCACTGCAATTTACTTTGTATGACAGGAAAGGTGCATAGATGACGGCCGGTTCTGCTGTAAGAAGAGCCGTGTGCTTCTTGTTGCTGGATGCTTTTTGGTGTTGACTGCCGATACCTGGAGATGTGACACCGCCAGATGTCTCGCTCAGGTCAATCACACTCTGTTTGGCTGGTTGGCAAAGCGAGATAAGGATGTATCTGGTTGCAACATGTAATAATTATATATAATGATCATTTAAGTTCTGACGGGGGTACAGCAGATAATGGCTGGTGTACACCCATGTTAGTAGTCCTAATGGTGTCTGATGTTTGGCTGAGGGTGAGTAGATGGTGTGCAGTTGTTCGCGTTACTTTTAGGGTAAAGGTGCAGGTGTTAATTGTGATATACATTTGCTGTGTTTCCATAATCCTTAGGGTTTCATTTTTACATTCTAACAATCTTGCTCCACCCTATACCCAGGAATTCAAATCCAGCCGGGATAGTGTTGAGTTGAGGTGCACGGCCTCTGAAAGACAAACTGGATTCAGTCGTGCATACATAATCGGCAGTACTCTGAACCCAGTGCTAAACTAACAACCCAAAGCCTAACAGAATCTGCAGCTGATCTCTCGAGTAATCTGAAAGTAACAGGAGTAAACAAGGAACTGATCCTACAGCCGTCATGCATCATCAGCCTTTGAAAGTCTGAATCCTGTGACTCCCTGCGGTCCCTTGCGGAGCATTTCCTTTGAAAGTCCGAATATTGCTGAAATTCGGCTGGGCAGCATATCATATCCATGCAGCATTTAGCCAGGATAATGCAAGGCAACACATCACTGCACCCTCACGAGTACGCGCCACGCATCGGTCCCTGTCGTCGTCCGCACATGGAAACACAAAGGAAAAAGTCTCCTTAACCCCTCACCTTTCGTACATGGTCTACTTCACCCCCAACTATAAAATCGTCTGTTTTATCTCCTGAACTTTCTAAAACCATCTATTTTACTCTTGGTCAGTTTTTTGAGAACGGTTTGCTACAGTAACGATGGGTTTGCTACAGTACCGCTGGGTTTGCATTTTCTTTTTATTTATTTATTTTCGGTGAATTTTTGAAAAATCATAGTAAATTATAGAAAAATCATAAAATGAAAAATCTAATTTTATTGGACTCCACATGAGTAGATCTACACAGTGAATATATAATACGGTATGTTTTAGTACAATTTTTTTTAGCTTTAGATTAATTGGAAAATCCAATTTTTTCTGTAATTAATTAGAATTTATCTATAACTAAGTTATACATAGTTCAATGAGTACGAAATTTTTACTATAGTTCAAGCATACAATAATTAGTGTACCATAAAAATTTCACCACAATTGAACCATAGAAGCTGCAGCTATGAATTATTCCAATTAATTACAGACAAAATTAGATTTTCCAATTAATCTAAGCCTATAGTAAAAATTTTGTACTAAAGCATACCGTATTATATATTCACTGTGAAGATCTACTCATGTGGAGTACAATAAAATTAGATTTTTTATTTTATGATTTTTCTATGATTTACTATGATTTTTCAAAAATTCACCGAAAATAAATTAAAAAAAAATTCAAATCCACAGTTGGGGGATGAAGTAGACCATGTATAAAAGGTATGAAAGGTGAGGGTTAAGTAGACTTTTTCCAAACAGAAACGATGCCCACTGCTCAAAAGTGCTCATGCTCACCCCCGAGACCGAGACTGGACAGACGATCGATAAGGGTACGCGCGTGACCCCGCGACGAGAGACGACCTCGCGTCGCGCAGCCCGGCGAAGCCCAGCGCCTGAAGGCTCCAAACCTGCGGCAGGGTCACGGGCGCGCCCGCCGTTCCCGAAGAGGACAACCACGTCAGTCTCCACACGATACCCCCTGCGTCCTGCGTGGCCTGGCCTGGCCTGCGAAGTATCCAGCCCATCGGTGAGCTACGAGAAGCGTCACTGCCGACCCGTGAGCCCCCGGCCGCTGGCGGCTTGCGCGCGCGTCCTCGCCAGGTGCCGCGCGTCCCGTGCATGCTGCGCGGCCAACACGTGGCACCCATCGGCCCGTCGCACATGCAGTTTACTTGGCAAGCAGAAACACATGGCAACGAAGGGATTGAGAGGACACGACCATGAATCCATGATTAGTGTTGATAAGTCGTGCATTCAGGTTGGAACCTGTGAGATTTGCCATCGCGTGCACCGGACTGCAGTGAGATCTCGTCACAAACCTCGGCGATGTTTAGATGCACTGTCTAAAGTTTAATCCACGTCTCATCAGATATTTAGATTTTAATTAAAATGATTAAATATGGGCTAATCGTAAAACTAACTACGTGATTAATTCACGAGAATATATTAAGCCTAATCAATCCATGATTAGCATATATTTACTAGCATCACATCCGTGAATCATGAACTAATTAGGCTTAATAAATTTGTCTTGTAAATTAACCTTCATTTACGTAATTAGTTTTATAATTAGTCTATAGTTAATACTCTTAATTAGTAGCCTTCATTTATGTAATAAGTTTTATAATTAGTCTATATTCAATACTTTTAATTATTGGCCCCGTTCCTTTGGCTGAAATTGGCTGAAAAATAAATCAAAGCTAAAATATTGTGAGAGAAAAATACTATTTCAGCTGAAAAAAGAAACCGAATAAGTCGACTTTTAAGGTAAGCCAATCGGAGCGATTATCTAAATATTGGACGTGAGTTGACAGGGACTAAAGTTACGCTCCTCTATAAAAGTAGACGTGTGCACAGCCCGTCACGGCCATCGTCGCTGTGTTAAGCCGGCGCAATGGCCACCTCCACCTCAGTTCCCGTTCTCCTGCTCCTCGCCGCCGCCGCCGCCGGCCTCCTGCTCCCCAGCTCGCTGGCATGCACGAGCAACTGTCCCCCGACCGCGCCCGGCAGTGGTGGCCACGGCCACCCGTCATACCCAGCGCCCGGCAGTGGCTCGCCGACGTGGCCTTCCCCAGGCTCCGGCTCCAGCGGCGGCCACAGCCGCCCGCCCCACCATGGCAAGCCGCCCAAGCACCACCACGGCCCCCCGTCCAACTGCCCGCCGTGCAACCCGCCGTACGTGCCTCCGACGCCTCGGCCGTCACCGCCCTACGTGCCACCGTACGTGCCGCCGACGCCTCGGCCGTCACCGCCCTACTTGCCGCCGTACGTCCCCCCGACGCCTCGGCCGTCACCGCCCTACGTGCCGCCGTACGTCCCCCCGACGCCGCCCTACGTCCCGCCGTACGTGCCGCCGACGCCGCCCTACGTTCCACCGACGCCGCCGGCGTCGCGGACGTGCCCGATCGACACCCTGAAGCTGAACGCGTGCGTGGACGTGCTGAGCGGGCTGATCCACCTGGTGATCGGGCAGGACGCCAGGTCCAAGTGCTGCCCGCTGGTGCAGGGGGTCGCCGACCTGGACGCGGCGCTGTGCCTCTGCACCACCATCCGCGCGCGCGTGCTCAACATCAACATCTACCTCCCCATCGCGCTCAACCTGCTTATCACCTGCGGCAAGCACCCGCCGTCGGGCTTCCAGTGCCCGCCGCTCTACGACTGAGCTGGCGAGGGAGATCACCGGCTACCGCCGATCGATGTATACGCGCCATGCATGGCATCGTGTGTGCAAGCTAGCTACTTGCAGCATGTCTCTACACTCTCCTACAACTAAAAAGAATAAAACGCCTACGACTAAAAAGAATAAAGTATGAACACTTTTTATTACGATATTTGTTTTGGGTCTGCCTCTCCATTTTGGTGCGACAAAAGCTTCGCCTCACCTTCATGTCGCCCGTGCGAAAAAAATTCTTTCGCGCGACAATCGTCCTCTCACCTCGTCGGTCCGCCCCCAGCGATCCCCACCTGTTTTCACCTCGCTTCCCCCGTGTGATAGTTGGCCCGGAAAAGGAAACCGCCATCCCGTCGCTCCCCCGTGATTCGTCCGTGAGACCCGCTCCTGCGACCCATCTCCTCCAATCACTCTCTATCTCTTCCCAGGATCCCGCTCCAATCACGCAGGGCCGCCGCCGCACACGCCGCTACCCATCCCCGCACCCTGCGGCCGCACACGCCACTGCTCCCCGTCACCGCACCTCGTGTCCCTGCCGCAACACCATCCCCATTGCTCCTTGCCTAGGTCCAAATCCCACGGCTTGCCTTGCCGTGAGATCCTGGTGGAACTAAGCGGTAGCAGCGGAGGACGCACGTGGTGCGTGCTTGGTGGCCACCATCTCGCCACGCTTTCTCGATGTCGGCAGTGAAGCGGAAGCATCGCTTAGGGTTCTTGACGACGCTGCAGAAGCAGTGCCAGCGACGGAGCCTCCTTGCAGGAGTTCTTGGCCTGCAAGCCCCGAACCACATCTCCAGGTGGCTCTCCATCCTCCTCTCCGTCCTGCAGATTCTCTGGGTCCTCCCTCCACTCCGCCTCGGGTCATCTGGTCAAGCACCAATTAGGCGTGCTCGTGTGGTGTACGACTGACTTGTGCTGAGCCTTTTTCAATATCGTTGTATGTATTAGGCATTTTATATTTAGATCTATTTATGTGTGAACAAATGATTGTTGTGGAGTCTAGAAAATTAAACAACAATTATTTCTTGGATCTGCTTTGGTTAAACACTATGAACATCTATTTTTTTGTAGATTGACATAATGAATTTGATGTTGATAAAAAATCATTGATAAAAATGTACTGTACATTTTTAAATATTTGCTAATTATTTCGGAGTCAGACATTCTTGTTTCCTGTTATGTACTATGCAATGATTCAATGGTTCGTCTCATCCATATTATATTCCTACTGCGTAGAACCAAAGAGAGTGGTTTCAGTAGACATTCTTTACTAGACTATACTTATGCTCTACATTTTTTCTTTTAGTATTGTAAAGTATTTTCAGTGGCATTTACGCCTACAGTTTCCTTTCTTTTTCTTTTTTTGAACTACCTGCAGTTTCCTTTCATGCTTGTCATGTTCTTAAGGTAATTATAAATTGAATCACTGATGGTGTTATTAGGCATCCCAATGCAGTATTGCTCATTGAATTATCAAAGAAAGAAAATTATTGTGAGGGAGTTATCATATGATTTTAAGTAGCCAGTTTGATGTGCAGGGTCGGACTATTGTTAATGGGCGTGTTAAACATGTAGCAATTAAAACTGGTGAAGATGTTGAGATCTTGGGTTTGACACATGTTAGATCTTAATTTTTTAATGCCTGAGATCGAATTTATGATACTATTAAATTGTTGCATGTTTATCCTACTTACTAATGTTTGAAGTATGAGATCTTAATTTCTTTAATTGAATGAGTTGTTGGTCTATCAAATTCAGCATGTTAGTAGTTAATAGGGACCAAGATGTCTTAAATTCTAGAGCTGCCCAGGTCACTGTTTTGGTTAATGGTCATGGCCCTCATGGTGCAAGTGCAAGACATGGAGCTCCAACTTAGTATACAACCTACTTTATCTTGACTGTTTAGTTTTTTTGGTGATTTATTTTGTAAATGTTAGACAATAACTAAGCACAAGACCAGTGCTATTATTAGTACCAACTTAGTATACAACCCACTTTTTCCTTGACTATTTAATTTTTGGGTGATTTATTTGTAAATGAAACCCATAGCTAAGCACAAGAGCATAAAGTTCTAATTTTCTATTTTTCGTTTTTGTGATTTAGTACCCACTGCAACGACATGTTGTGATGAAATTTATTCTTGATCGCACAGTGGTCCCTAAACACTACAATTACAATGGTGGAGATGTTCAAAAAGATACTAGACCATGGAGGTCCCTGAAGACTCCAGTTACCTGCAAAAGAGATGTTCAAAAACATACTAGACCATGGAGAGATAATGATGGTGAAAGGAGATTGTGCTAGGTTTTTTGTTGATCTAGAGTATCATACATGTAACTTGTGTGCAGGCTGGTAACACCATTGGTCTTCTTCTTCATGGTCTTAAGCATGGTGATGTCGAGCGTGGCCAAGTTAGCATTCCTGACTTTTTTTTATAAACAACATTCCTAACTTCAAAGTGCTCTGAGAAGTTTTAGAAATATCCATTTGTCTGGAAACTGCCTTGCATCATGGTACATGGTTGCGTGATCGCCAAAAGATCTGTACAATTCTTTTATTCGTAATCTTTAGTCTTTGTTACACAATTTCTAGGTCTCCAATATTGAGATTGAACTATCTCTAATGTTGATGCACTGTCATTTTGTACTTTTTCAGGTGGTGTGTAAACCTGGTAGTCTGAAGACATACAAAAAAGTTTGAGGCAGAAATATACGTCCTGAGAAAAGGACGAAGGTGGCCGGCACACTTCCATGTATGTTGAAGTTTATAGATGGAATTTTCGAAAAGTCAAAACATCTTGTAGTTTGGAATGGAAGTTGTTGCTTATCACCTATAACATATAGTTTTTCTTGATTGATGGAGCACACATGTAGCACCAATAACATATAGAAAATTGTTTGATGATGTGAAAATTTCTAAACTGGTTTGTGTTAGTTGATGCATATATTATTCAAAAGAGGACATTATGACTTCATTTATTGTAATCTTCTATATTTGTTCACATAAAAAATATGAACTATTATATTATATTCTAATTGTTTATGCTTTGTGAGAACTCAGGTAATATTGATGATTAGCTAGGGTGTTGCGAATATCATGTTCAAAATATTGTTTTTTAATAGTATATCACACATTTAAAATTGAATTATTGTGACATTGTTTTTCCCCGTCACCCGCCAGGATCTTGCGTCGTCATCATCATCGCGGGCGGTCCTCGCTGTCATCGCCCTCGCCATTGACGTCTTTCATCTTCCTCACCAATTGATCCATCCACTACCGGCCATCGCGTGCTCAGATCCGTGTGAGGTGCGCTGTAGGAACCGCCGCACCAACAGGGAGGGCGCCACCAGACGCCCAGCTCGGCATTGGTTTGGCTCGATCAGGAGGCGCCGTGAGTGCTGGTGCGTGTCCTGATCCTATTCATCCCATTTCTCAGATCTTTTCCTAATGCGATTGTTTAACCGAATCGAATCTTCTAATTAGATTGTTTTGGGAATTTCTTGTATTCCTTGCGCCTCGCTAAAAGCATCTAGGCCCCTAGTTGGGTTTCGAGATTAATGACAATACTGATTCGTAGTAGTCGGTTACAAGCTAGGTGAGAGATCCCGGAACTAGCCCCGAGACACAAGGTCTCGGCGGTTCGTGTGGTGCCAGGGCTGCTTGAGCGTTGTTCCCAAGCGACATATGCCCCTGTCTCGGCCAGGTGCTGCTATCGGCTTGTTCCTATCGGCTTTTCTCCCCTCCTAAATGGCCCCGATCCCTCCCTTTTATACTCTAAGGGAGGACCAGGGATCGTGCTGCAGGTGCTACATAAGCGCTTACGTAAAATGGGGTGGCGTGTCCAGAGCCACATGGTAAACTCTTTGTTGTGGTATGGTCGATGGAGTGGCCCGTCCTTGTCGTCTTGGAAGTGACATCTTTTGTCGAGACTTCGGTCTTGCTTGCGTCGTGGGGCTCCGATCTGACTTGATCACGGACATGGCGGGCGGCGTCGTCTTGGTCGCCGTGTAATGGCGTCGTGGGGAAGCGGCGGCTCTGCGGATCTGCGAGGCCGAGCCATCGTGGGGGCTCGGTGGTCATGGACCCTCGGTGCTGCCGAGCAGTGAAACAAAGCTATCGTCGAGGCCTTGGGGGAGTTATTGGCCTGAGTGCGATTAGAGGCCCACGATGGCCAGGACGTGGCTCCCCATCTTTGCGTTGTCCTTGGAGCGGGGAGTTGGCGGCCTGATGAGGCATGGGTGTCAACTATGTGTGCTGATGGATAGCATAGTGATGGGTAACCCCTGCTTGATCCGGGGGACGTCACGAGTCATCGCGTGATGGCGTCGTGAAATTTTGTGGCTCTGTAGGTGCGAGGCCAAGCCATCATGAGGGGCTTTGGCGGACATGGGTCCTCGGTGTCGAGCCCCTGGAGGCGAGCTGCAGGAGGCCTTGGAGGGGTGTTGCTCACAGAGTGCGATTCCGAGGCCACGATGGCTCGGGCGTGGCTCCCCATGCTGCGTTGTCCTTGGAGCGAGAGTTGGCGGCCTGATGAGGCATGGGCGTCAACCACGTGCAGGGGGTTAATCTGTGGCGGGTAACCCTGTGCGATCCTGTCTCTCCCATCGGCCATTCTGCTGTCTTGTCTGCGGGCATCTGGTTGTTGTCGAGGCGCGATTGGGTGAGTTAATGCGACCTGACGTTTTGCGGAAGGGACGGGAGAAGGAAGAGGTAGCGGCGTCTTCTTGAGCCCGCCTTCTTGCGGAGGGGGAGGGTCGGTGGCCTCGGCCGAGGCCTCTCTGGAAATCGACCGAGGCCCGCGGTGAGGGCCCTCTCGGCGAATCGGAGAATCGGTGAGGTCCATGGTGATGAGGCCTCGGGCGAGTCGGAGAATCGGCGGCCGAGGCCAGCAGTGATGAGGCCTCGGGCGAGTCGGAGAATCGGCCGAGGCCGGATGATGGGGCCTCGGGCGAGTCGGAGAATCGGCCGAGGCCCCAGCAGCGTTAGGTGGG